CCTCCCGTGGGACCTGCTGTCACCCGTGGGAGTCTGAGGGACCCTCCCCTGGGACCCTCATTCACCTGTGGAAACCCTGGGGGACCCTCCCTTGGGACCTGCTGTCACCCGTGGGAGTCTGAGGGACCCTCCCCTGGGACCCTCATTCACCTGTGGAAACCCTGGGGGACCCTCCCGTGGGACCTGCTGTCACCCGTGGGAATCTGAGGGCACATCACCCGGGACCTGCTGTCACCTGTGGGAAACCCTGGGGGACCCTCACCTGGGACCCTCTGTCACCTGTGGGAAACCCTGGGGGACCCTCACCTGGGACCCGCTGTCACCAGTGGGAATCTGAGGGACCCTCCCTTGGGACCCACTGTCACCCTTGGGAACGCAGGTGTAATCCCGCCTTTCTAACCAGCCCATCCCAGTAGGAAACCACCCCACAGGGCTCTGATCCGTGGGGAACCCTGCTGGACTCACCCCTGTAGGACCAGCTCGCCTGTAGCCATCCCTCTTAGACCCCTGTGTCGGGGGTGCAGACCCTTACCTAGCCATGAGGACAGAGGTGCCAGGAGCCAGGACAAGGTCATTCCGCTCTGTCACCCGGAGCTTTGATTCTTGACCTCATCCCCATGGTGTTCTCACCCCTGTGTGATTCCCAGGGCATGGCAGGAGAGCATCTCCCTGAAGGAATTGCAGCGGAGGGGCGTCTGCTTGCTCAAACTCCAGGTCACCAGCCAGAGAACCGGCCTCTACGGGCGTCTCCTCGTGACATTCCAGCCCAGGAAATGGGATTCGGACTCCGAGCTGCCCTCCAACAGCTTTGGGCCTGGTAAGGGGCATTCCAAAATTAAAAAAACAGATCTCAGAATCCTGGAATGGTTTGGGTTGGGAAGGGACCTTAAAGCCCACCCAGTCTCACCCCCTGCCATGGACAGTGACACCTTCCACTGTCCCAGGTTGCTCCAACCTGGCCTTGGACACTTCCAGGGGTGGGGCAGCCACAGCTTCTCTGGGCAACAACACGTTTTCCGCCCTTCACGCTCTCTAAACTTGCCTTTGCAGGGGATATCGTGGGGCTCTACGACTCTGCTGGGCAGGGTGACCCAGTGGCCACCGGCGTCGTGACCCGTGTCACCTCCAAGGCAGTGACCGTGGCCCTGGAGGAGCCCCGGGATGGGGAGCTGGGCCTGGACCACGAGCGCTCCTTCCGCCTGCTCAAGTTGGCCAACGACGTCACCTACAACAGGCTCAAAAGGTCAGGGCTCCCCCGGGGTCCCTCTGCTCAGGGGCGGGGGAGCCACAGGAGAACCGCCAGCTTTAGTCCCAGACACTTCCCAGTTTTCATTCACTAGGCTTGGTTTCTCTCCTTTCCCATCTCATCCCTCTTGCTCCTACAGCAGCTCCACTGAGGGGAGGCATCCACCTGCCTTTTTGTGCTGCCTACTGAGGGAATCCATCCCCGGGGATAATTCAGTTGGATTTGTCATGCTACAGCCTCATAACAGCCTAAATTCACTCACCTGCTGGCTGGTCCTCCTCTTCCCTTTCCCTCTCCAAGCTGTGTATTTTGGTCTGGTTGTATCACCTCTGGGACTCCCTGGGTTCTGTGTAGGGCCTTTTCCATCCTGGCAGGAGGACTGAAGAGTTCTTTGCTGGATTAACATTCTGAAAAAGCACATTTGGCTGTACCAAGCTGGAATAACGGGAAGTGGAAGCCTGACCAGCGCAGGGACGCGTGTGGGAACATTGGGGGATGCAGGAATTAGGTGGGATCAGTCTCGTGGGGTAACGTTGTTCAGCTCTGGAATAGTTCCATCTGTGCCCACAGCCTGTCTCTGGGCCCTTGGGAGTCTCCAAAGGAATTCCTGTAACCTGGATATTCCCTTCTTTGGCAGAGCTTTAACTGCACTCAAGCANACAACACGTTTTCCGCCCTTCACGCTCTCCAAACTTGCCTTTGCAGGGGACATCGTGGGGCTCTACGACTCTGCTGGGCAGGGTGACCCAGTGGCCACCGGCGTCGTGACCCGTGTCACCTCCAAGGCAGTGACCGTGGCCCTGGAGGAGCCCCGGGATGGGGAGCTGGGCCTGGACCACGAGCGCTCCTTCCGCCTGCTCAAGTTGGCCAACGACGTCACCTACAACAGGCTCAAAAGGTCAGGGCTCCCCCGGGGTCCCTCTGCTCAGGGGCGGGGGAGCCACAGGAGAACCGCCAGCTTTAGTCCCAGACACTTCCCAGTTTTCATTCACTAGGCTTGGTTTCTCTCCTTTCCCATCTCATCCCTCTTGCTCCTACAGCAGCTCCACTGAGGGGAGGCATCCACCTGCCTTTTTGTGCTGCCTACTGAGGGAATCCATCCCCGGGGATAATTCAGTTGGATTTGTCATGCTACAGCCTCATAACAGCCTAAATTCACTCACCTGCTGGCTGGTCCTCCTCTTCCCTTTCCCTCTCCAAGCTGTGTATTTTGGTCTGGTTGTATCACCTCTGGGACTCCCTGGGTTCTGTGTAGGGCCTTTTCCATCCTGGCAGGAGGACTGAAGAGTTCTTTGCTGGATTAACATTCTGAAAAAGCACATTTGGCTGTACCAAGCTGGAATAACGGGAAGTGGAAGCCTGACCAGCGCAGA